CCATCCAATTCACAAGGACATTCGGTCACCCCGATACAACATGGAAAATCACGGTCTATCGTCTATCTTGCAAATTGAGACGCTCGGATTACGATTGGACAAAGTAGAAACCTCCAGGGTGAGTGATTGGCATGGTTGAGATTCGCTAATAGAACTTTGGGAGTGGATGGCATCTTCTCTGCCTATGAGAATGTATTACTGCGTTCAGGGTAGTTCTTTATAACGGGATCCAAGCTAGACAACTCGATTGGCTCTCGCCGAACTTGTGATTCCATAAGATTTGCTTTCTTTTTCTTGTTTGAAGATGGACCTAAATATTTGGGCTGATTCCTCCTAACAACCGCTCTATTGTTGCTATTTTGTAATGATCCTGTCTATTGCCAGAACGTATGCATCCGTAAAAGTCAGACACGGGAATCTCGCAACTACCTAGGTAGCCGAGCGAGGCTCTAAATAGAGCGCAATTAGAATCACGGAGATGGTACAACTTTAAATCGATTCATATCTGATTCATCTAACAAACCCACCTCTCCACTCATATCCTTAAAACGCCCAAGGTACATTTGCGAGCCACCAACGACAAGATTGAAGCAGGCAACCAAACATTGAAGAAGCTAGCAATCGATCGGACTTCAAGGCTCGTTTTGACACAATTCACAACGATCTCAAACTGCATCCTACAAACATTGCAGTAAAACCTATCTAACGATCTAGGGCAGAGTAACGCAAACTTTAATGTGAGTGATGCTCGATTGACCAAATCCTCATGAGAAAACAGAACTCTCAGCAGCGAGAACCGGGCTTTAACACGGGAAAATGAGGCTTCACGACGAGAGGTCGCGGCGCTGAAGTCCCAAGTGGACTAGGCGCGCAACCTGGTATCTACCTAGTTCACCGTAAAATCGGTCGAAAAATGATTGCTTCTGGGGTTGATAAGAAGGAGATAAAGAGCTTTGAGAATCAGCAGCTTGTTATATATTTTTATTTTGATTGGTTATGGTGATTCGTTGTTGTGGTTTTCTTTTTGTTCTGAAGGGTATATATCAGATCGAAACACAAATATCACCTACACCGCTGTGGCAGAATCAAGCACGCGCCAAACCCCTTTAGGCCAAGCGCCCCAATGATTGCCAGACATCCAAACAATCCACGTAGATTGCAAGGAGGGTCCTACAAGCATCCCACAATCATAATCCTATCTGCTATCCAGATCCAATAAAGGTATGTGAATAAGTGTTCCCTGGTTGGAGGAGGCTCTCCGCGCCCAAATTCGCCACCAATTGCGCCCCTTCTCCCCGCATTGCTCCGGGGTCGCGCGCATACCCCGTGGTATTTGGGACATGATGTCAGCCCAATGGAGTCTACACGCGTTAAAGTTTGAGTTAATCTGCTCGTATACTAACAAACTTCTCTGTGTAGCTTCTTTAAACCGTCCTAAAACTACCATATTCAATTTATTCACAATGTCTGCCGAAGGCGCCTCTGCATCGGTACGTTGATCGCAAGTGGCACCCCAGCTGCGCTTTACCAATGCGCAATCATACCACGAAGAGATTCCGCGCAAGTAGTGCACTTTCACGGACGGTCCTAACAACTATCCAGCCCATCCCCATCGAGGATCTTAAGAAGATCACCACCGAGGTACGCTTCCAAAATACCCTGTGGAAATAACCCCGCGCTAACAATTCACCCTAGGCCTGTGAGAATGCCCTCAAGTCCAGCCAGAGCTACGATCACGACAAAGTCGGAGACTGGAACTCCCAGATTATCGTAAGTACCACCACCACCCTACTGCATGTGACAACACCAGTACTAACAATCCCCCGCACAGAACACTGTCCTGAAGGCCCTGATCACTGCCACTGCACCCACCGATACGTCTAAGCCCCCTCCCTACCGCTTCACCGTGAACAGCACAATCGTGCAGCAGGGCGTGATTGACCCTTCCGTTGCCGCAGACGGTGCACTCAGCAATGCCGGTAAGCGTGGTATGCACTCCGCCTCCGGAGCCTTCTGGGATGTCAACCGTGACGGCATGTGGACTTTCAAGTACACTGGTGCTGAGGAGCAGGGGATGGATGTTGTTGTTTGTGTGACGTGGTTTTCCGTCGTCGTATAAAGACAGGGTTGATTGTTAGCTGGCTTGTTCTGTCATGGACATATCCATGGATAGCATAAAAGTCCATAAGCGAAGGTAGTGGCTTGGTCTGTGATTTTCTATCGGATTTGCGTCACGAGCTTAATCTTTTTTTTTTCATGTACTTGAACATTTGTTTTTAGTGTGCTGGGTATGTTCAGATCTGTTCTTTTTCGTGTGATTTGATTTGAATTCGGTCTGAGCGTGGTGTTTATGTTTTCTTTTAGTTTATGGAGATTTGCCTGCGTTATTCGAGAAATTGAATAGCCTTGTAAACTCATATCAGACATGTTACCCTGGTAAGAGTGTGCAGTGCAGAGAAAGAGACTTGGAATAAGTATTTGATATTGTTATTGGTATCTCGACACTATGCAGTTCCTCTGCGGGATGGAAATGGGACAAATAAAAAACTGCGAAATAATTTCAACAACAAAGGTCTCCATTGACCAACCGAAATACGCCGCATTACCAGACAAATCTGGAACGCACCCATCATTACTTGCGCCATGCCATGTGTAGATTACCTAGAATAAGATCAACGCCAATACAGACCCATCAACTCATGAAAGCAGAACGCCAGTTAGCCAAGGCAACTCAACCTTGCATCGTGCCCCTACCGAGGCTCTGAATAGTCGTTCAAAGCAACACAAACGGCACCTCGATGGTGGCCGCTGTACTGGCGGATGATATTGCCAGTGCCGAGCTCCCACAGACGAGCGTAGTGATCACTGGAGACAGTCACGAGGTATGCACTGTCTGCAGAGAAGGCGCAGTCCCAGACCCAGCGCTGGTGATTGGCAAGGGTGGTCTCTAGGAACAGCGTGTGGTTGACTGGATCCATGGGAGGCCCATCTGGGGACGAGGTAAACGTCTGCTGTGGTGTCTCTTGGCGAGGAGGGTTGTCGGTAATACGGAGGAGATCGCGGTCTTGAACGGGTGTGTCGAAAATGCGGAGCAGATCCCGAGACTGGGCGGCGGGGACCTCGACAGGGGATATCGGAGCTTCGACCGGGGTTTCAACTGAAGGGTTCAATGCTTCTTTCTCCTTCCATTGCTTCAATGCTAGTTTGGCAGGCGGGAATTCGGCGTCGAGGTTCCAAACCTTGGCGGTATGATCCGCAGAGCAGGTCGCAAGGTGCTTAACATCGGGAGAGAGTAGAACTCGAGTGAGGTAGTCCTTGTGAGCTTGGAAGGTACAGACGGGGATGATGCGGGTGGTTTCGTCAGTTTGGACCATGCGCCACAAGTAGACATTGCCCTGTTGTGTTATTAGTAAAGAACCATGCAATACCTCGAGGACCCAAAATGACGTACCTTCTTATTTCCAGCGCAAAGCAAAGATCCATCACTGGCAACACTGACACTGAGCACCGCAGTGTCCTCTTCCGGAATCAATTGATGGGTACATACGCTCTCGCCCAAATCCCAGACACGGACCATACCGGCGTGGTCACCACTGATGAGCTCGCCCTGGTTGGGATGAATGACCACATCATTGACCGCAGCCCGGTGAACGTAATTCCGCTGCAAGCTACCGGTACGGGTATCCCAAACCTTCACGGTTCCATCCTCGGAGCTGGTGACCATCCATTTTCCCTCGCAGTGGAATGCCACGCCGGTGATGTTGTTCGTGTGACCTTCAAAGGTAATCACGGGATTGGGATTGGTTGATTTGATATCAAAGAGCTTGACATTGTTGTGGCCCGCGGCAGCTAGGAACCTCTTATCCGGGGTAATACAAAGACGATTGACTTGGGAGTCTGGATGTTGGATTGTACGTGAACAGATACCCGATAGCGCTTCCCAAAAGCTAGCAACGATATAGTAAGCAAGAGTCCTGGTACAAATTGCCACGCTGCGAGTGCTGGATAAACGCTGCGCGCGGCTAGTTGAGCCTCAACTTACCGAATGGTATGGTCGTACCCCGCTAAAATATGCAACCAAGGTAATTAGCTCAATGCCTGGAAGAATGCGGGGAGCTCCTTGCGATGTTCCACGTACCGGTGCATAGAATAACACTCATATTCGCCAGGGCAGAGGCCAGTGGAGTATAGTGGGAGAAATAACCGGTCTTCGTGATATCCTCGTTCTGGGTACCACTGGAGTCCCTTGAGGCGTTAGGGGAGCTGTCAAAGCGAGACGGCCTGGGCCGAACGTCGGATGGAGTCCCATTTTCTGCCATGGCTATCACGTGGTTACAAGTCCACGTGAGTAACGTGAGTAGAGCGGTGTCGCTGTGTGGCGGTAAGTCGATAAGATCAGGGCGGTGGGAAGATAAGACGATGATACCTAAAGGGGAGGCGGTCAAGTAGGTAAACAGAACAACAGTTGTGGGTTGTTGTTTGTCTAATGAGGGCCGCTCATGATTTTCTAGATAACGTGATAGTTCTAATCAATCAGTTTCTTTCTATTTCTATATTGTTTTGAACTGGATTGTGAGTGAATTCTTCGTACTGTTAATCTTTGTTAATGTCGAGTCTCAACTAGATTGGGCGGTAAAATCCGCGGTAGGTCTTGCGGTGGAAATCTGACGAATGATTGGCCACCGTAAAGTTAAACTTTTGGCAAAATAATTGATTAGCCGGCAGAAAAAAAAAACATGTCCATGCAGTCGATCAAATACATCATGCGTTTGTCGTCTCCATTGATTCCTATTGATCCCTATTGATTGGTTCAAGACAATAGCAATGTTATTTCCTTTGTTCTTGCTTGCCCCCTTTGTCCTAGTCTATCAGCCCTAGTTCCTTCCTCGACAGTTATAACCACCCCTCCTGCTTTCATCTCTTCTTCCTTTCCACCACATCTTCTTATCTTCTCAACCCTTTTCGATATCTTCCAAACATAATACCTATTCTTAATTAACATGGCTACAATTGATTCCAACAACCCTGCCTTTGGGTTTGACCAGCCTGCTTTCGACTCACAGGCCTTTCTCAATGGCCTTGGTCTCGATTCCGACACGCCTTTTAATGCTTCCAATGGCTTCAACCAATATGAAATGCCCCCTGAGCTCCTGAAAAGCTTCGACGAGTGCATTGCCAGCCTTCCTCCCGATGGCCTCGACCAGGAGTTTAGTTTTGACCAGCCCATTTCAACCACACCTGTCAACTGCTCTGCCCAGTCAGTGACCCACAATCTCCCCGTGCATGCACCATACAGCCAGGTATCCTATGATACCTCAATTGGGATTCCATACACCCCGGAGGATGATGATGCCGACAAGGTCCGAAAGTGGGAGAATCTCATCGCTCACGCCAATCTGGCCAATGCTGGCATGCCACCCTCTGCTCCCCAGCCCATTCAAGAAGAGACTGTCGGAAGAAAACCCCAGTCTGTTGACTCGCCCAATTCTCTGTTTGAATCTCCTGGTTCCTCGTCTGCCGAGGCCTCCTCTGTTGAGATCGTTGCGACTCCTAGTGCCACTCCGTCAACTCCCTCCCCTCCTCAGGCTCCTGCGGCTACAATGCCACCTTCGAACACAGCAGCGAATGTCACAGTAAGTTATTATTGGTGATTCACTCGTGTATATTAGGGGGAAAATACTAACTGTGTTCAACAGGCCAACGCCATTCCGCGCGCAATCCCTCGCGCCGTGAAGCTTCCGCGAGCGTTGACCAACCCGAAGGGTTATGCCCAACATGTTTCCCCATTCGCTCCGATTGCGACAATTAATCCTCCTCCTGATTCTGCCTCAAATTCTCGGGAGCTAGAGAATGCACGGTCCCGCATTCAGAGCCTCGCAAAAGAACGCAATTACTACCAACGCAGTTTGCGGAAGGCAACTGCCATTGACCCTAAAACTGGCAAGACGAGCCTCCAGCTGCTTCAAGCTCAAAATGCAAGCCTTCGCCGGGTCAACGCCAGCCAGCTGCAGGAGAATGAGAGTCTAAAGCAACAAATTGAAGAGGCTCGGAAGTCGTACGCCTCCCTAGTTGAAAATTACAATAGTAACATCAAGCAGTTACACCGGGCACGACTTGAACTGCAACAGCGAGTGAAATAGAGGTCCACTGATTACCTGTATGTAATTTCATTTGACAAAGATGACAACTAAGTGAACGGTATTATGCCTTCTGCAATGCAAGTATGTCTCATCATCTTTGGCTTTAGCTTTTCTCCAGTACTGTTTCGACATTGTAAACGCGACATGGCCTGTCTAGGATGTTAATAGTTGATTTGAATTGATTAGGTGACTTAGCACAAACTTTCTTCTGCTACTTTAAATACGCAAAAACGGTAAGCATGTTATAGCAGGCTATAGGGGTGTAAATTTAGTGTAACTCGACAGATTTCTACTAATGATCTACACGTTCAACCTCAGATACAAAGATCTTCTTGATTAGACTGTAATACATTACATGTCAATCACGAAAGAAATCTTTGTTAGACTCCTGCTTTGGCTCCTTAGCTTCCCTCTGTTGTGTTATGCTGTCACTAAAAAAGGTTTAATTCTCAGCCAAGCTAGAACCTAGGTAGCATTCTGAGACCAGAGTTGCCAAATAAATTCATTGCTTTTAAGGTGTGAGAGACAGATACGAAGTAAACTAAGAGTGGTGGAATTGAACTTGAGTTTTTATATCAGATTAGCCTTACTATATGAACTCCAAAGTTGGATATCCCTTCCTCCAGATACTAAGATTCTGGGCAGATACGACCCTGCTCCTTTGTCAGGACATGATTTCTCTTCCCTTTCCACCTCTTTCCCTCCTATCCGCTCATTCGACTCCCTACCCCTACCCTTTCTTATAAAATTGCATGTGTCGCCAGTTGCTGTCTACAGAACAGCCATTTCTTCATCCAAGCATTTCCCCGGCCTTTGGCAAGCCTAACAGCAGACTCAAGATAACTATACTACCAGTAAACGCCGTGCAAAGCTGGTTGACACTTACCTTCTCACCCGCCCTTCTCTATCGTCCGTTCCTTCCCCTCTCGTTTCCTCTTCTTCTACTCCCACACTCTCCAATTGCTAACCCTCTCTTCATCAGGCCAACACCGAACAGTTGCAGGAGAATGAAGCTCGAGCAGCAGATGCAAGGAACTATGGAGTTCCTTGCCTCACTGGTTGAACATACAACTACAACTACAGCATCAACATCAAACAGCTGCACAGGGCACAGCTTGAGCTGTAACAGCTAGGGAAGTAAGAAGTCTGCCAACATTTCCCAGATGACGGATGCCCAACAAGCAAGGATCGGAGGGTACTTAGCCAGGGAAATACAAGCCAACTGAACCTTTGATGTCATTCTTCTTGGTGCAATTAATATTAAATAGATGCGCGTGGTTTTGCGCATTTACGTCTTCTAATATAGCACGGTTAGTGTTTCTGATGTACTGTACTTGCGGAAGTTCAATTCGAACACAATCCTCCAATAAGAGAAGTGATGCCCGTAGTGGATTCTGCTAGACTTCTTTCTGCAAAATAGCGTGTTGATATATGCGTCCTAGTATGCCTTCAGATTCCCAAAGAGATAACTGCAGGAAAATGTGGTAGGAGTTTCAGGTCCGAAAAAAGTCAATTTAACAGTTCGACTCCCCCTTCGTCCACAATTCTCCCAGTATGGTTGTGCAAAGGGTTAAGGAATGTAGATCCCGGAATGAAAAATATTAAGCCGCAGTTACACAATGCTAAATAGGCAATATTTTTTTATAGATGGCATATAATCCGCGACTACACATGATAGTAGCCCTTTTCATTTGGCGTGTTACACACATTCTGGAGCTTACATCCCATCTCAAAGCAGGTATGCAACTTACTGACCGTGGATGCTTCCTATATTGCCAGTACTAATTCGACAGATGTTTTACACGTCTGATTGAATTTTGATCAAATTAAATTTATATAGTACATCGTATGATCACAGCGTTGCATAAAACCCTTATGTTATTCAATGCACCAAGGTCTCGATGCGGAAATAAGTGGGTTTTTGCCCTAGAAAGGTCTGCGTCCACTTATGATGCACATTTTGCCCAACATGTCACAACAGCATGGCCGGCTGGCCCAATGGCAAGGCGCTTGACTACGAATCAAGAGATTGCAGGTTCGATCCCTGCGTCGGTCAATATTTTTGCTTTCCTGGCTTTCTACAACCCTGTACTCGAACTACGTCATACCTGAATATGTATAGCATCTGACATCTTGGTCACTGCAGGTAGTTCGGACTATTTCCAGTGTGTAAACAGGTTGGTAGTCTAAACAGATTCGTATTTTTAATATGCCTTGCAATTTTGCATTCATAGAGTCCATTGGAGTCTCAGAATACTACTATGCGACTATGCGACACCGTTGGTATAAGCTTTCAACAATATCAAACCTAATATTTTCCGGCCTGGAATGATTGTGCTATGAAACCATAAAACCAAAATGCACACAGCATGTTCCTCGCCTCAATCGGCAGAAGAAGAATCCGATTTGAACCAAACAGTTTCGAACATGACGCCACCAGGCTGCAGAATTTGAAGACACCAGTGGAAGAACCTCGGGCTTATCAAACAAGGCAGAGAGTATGGCCAGATGTGGTTCGTTCAAAAAAAGACATAAAACTGGAACTAGCAACTGGAGGCCGTATGTCAGTGGCGTCAAAAAAAAAGAAAGCTTAATAAAATCGCATCAAGTGGGTTTAGACTCGGAGTGGATTCAAGTGGGCGCCAACCAACGTGCGCCATTTCGACCGGCTACCCGATGTGGATGTCGGATTGTGGCTGTCGGCATGCCGGTTTACTCGGTTCGGATTTAAATATCTTCCACCAGGGCAAGGGGTTCCAAGGTTCTGTATTAATTATGTAAGGACTTCTATCACCGATTTGTTCCGAGTGTGGTTCCTTTTTCTTCGTGGGTTGTCTTTCGTTTCCTTTTGACAGGTTTGAGATTTCAACCCGTTGAGGAAAGGGAAGATATAGCTGGTTGCTCGTCATGGCGGATCAAGATGAGATTCGGGGTAATTCGGTCTATCAGGTCGAAGAGCCCGTCACTGAGACTCCCTCGCCAGTTGAGAAACCTGTTGCTGTGAAGCAAGAGAAGAAGTCGGGGTTGATGGCTAAGTTAGTATCCCCATACCCAATACCCCATGCTCTTATGTTTTTCATAAACAGCGCAGAACAAGACAAAAATACTAACACCCTCACAGAATTGGGAGAATGTTCAACCAAGATATCCGGGAGGAAATTCCTGCATACAAAGATATTGAAATCCACACCTGGGATGGGCCCGACGACCCAGAGAATCCCTTCAATTGGAGCCTCCGATACAAATGGCTGCTAACTATCACCGTATGCTTCATGTAAGAAATTCCCTCTCGATACACTACACATAAACTTAAAACATCAAACTAACAACCCAATCAGCTCCATCCTCACTGGTCTTCCCGCAGGTACCTACGGTTCCGGCAACGACTGGATGGAAAAGGAATTCAACGTCCAGAACTCCCCCTTCCCGAACCTATACTGGGCTACCACCTCCTGGAACATGGGCGCCGCCTTCTGGCCATTGATCTTCGTCCCTCTGACTGAAGCCTCCGGCCGCATGCCAGGATACTTCGTGGCATATGTGATTCTTGTTATCTCGCTCTTCCCATCTGCATTCGCAAAGAACTTCGCGACCCTCGTCGTGACTCGTTTCTTCGGTGGTGGTGCTTCTTCCGTCTCGATTAATATCGTCGGTGGAAGTATCTCCGATGTGTGGCTCGGTGATCATGCTCGCAGTCTGCCCATGTCTATTTTCGGATTTACGAGTGTTGTTGGTATTGCACTTGGTCCGTTCATTGGATCTGCTATTGTGCAGATTCAGAGATCGGAGCCGTGGCGTTGGTAAGCACAATCCCTGTTTTCCCAATATTTATAATAGATGATCCAAGATCCAAGAACATATTATACTAATCCCCTCTATAGGATCTTCTACGTCCAAATCATCTACAACGCAGCCCTAATCCCAGTATTCTGGCTAATCCTCAACGAAACCCGCCCAGACGTGATCCTCAAGAAGCGCGCACGCAAGATCCGCAAGGAAACCAACCGCCCGGTCTACGCAGCTGCTGAAATCGACGCACCAAGCAAGCTGCGCCTACTGAAGATCTCCTTCCAACGCCCGACAAACATGCTCCTCACCGAGCCAGTCGTAATCTTCTTCACCTTATGGATCAGTTTTGCCTGGGGAATTTTGTACCTCTTCTTCTCCAGCGTCGTCCAAACCTACTCTACCAACTACGGCTGGGGCACGCTAGGAACCGGCCTAGTCCAGCTCGCCATCTCAGTAGGCGCGATCATCGGAACAGCCATCAACCCACTACAAGACTGGTTCTATCTTCGTTCTGAACGACGCAACAAAGAGAAACCCGGTAAACCCATCCCGGAAGCAAGACTCTACACATCCATCCCGGGTAGTCTGCTCTTTGCGGCGGGTTTGTTCTGGTATGGCTGGGCTAGTCAGCCTGATATCCATTGGATTGTGCCGACTATTGGTATCACTGCTGCTGGCATTGGAATTTATTCGATCTACATGGCTGTTGTTAATTATCTGACTGATGCTTATGAGCGGTATGCGGCGTCTGCTTTGTCTGCTGCTTCGCTAGGTAGGAATGCTTTTGGTGCGTTTTTGCCGCTTGCTTCGCCACAGTTGTTTAAGAATCTTGGGTTTGGATGGGCAGGGACTTTGCTTGGGTTTATTGGGGTTGCATTGTCGGTTGTTCCTGTTGTTTTGGTTTTGAAGGGACCGCAGATTCGAGAGAGGAGTGTGTTTATGAGGGAGGCTATGTGGGAGCCTGAGGAGAGGGTTGAGGTTGATCGGTCTGGTAAGGAGGATTCGGGGCCTACTTCTGAGGGAATTGCGTGAGGTTGTTATGTTCACTTGTCAATAGGTGTATGTTGGGGGTGTTCTTTTGTGTTGGCATTGCATGGTTGAGTGTTTTGTTTTACTTGTTGTCTTCATTCTGGCAGATAGATATACGTGTGAATATTTATCAACTTTGATAGAGATAGACTTGAACACATGAATTTATTGTTTCATTTTGTTTTATGTCCATCTAGTGGCCGTTCTCTATTGTATAATGCAAAGAGGGTAGTATAGAAAGACAAGAAACCATAAACCACAACTTCCTCCACATGTTCTGTCGACTCTGAATCCAAGGTGGAAAGCATAGCGGAAGAGGGTATCGAGGCAAAGGGGTCAGGGTCAGAGGTGAATGGCCATTCTTGCTTTTTGGAAAATATTTTCGCTATCAAACATTCAACCACAAGGACGATCAATTTACTTTTGATCGCGCATGTTGCGGAAGAAATCCATGACACCGGTGTAGACAACAAGCAGAATACCACCGCCAGGGCCGAGACGCAGCACCTTAGGTGTGAAGCCCTTGTATAGGGCAGCGAAGCCCTCCTCCTTCATCACTGTGCCCAGAGCGGGCCAGGCCCAGTTGTACTTGGCGACCTGACCGGGAACCTTGGAGGTGTTCTGGATGCGAGACTTGACGACGTCCATGGGGGTGTTGAGGATAGTACCGGTGATACCACCAACGCTACCAGCGATCAAGTCGTTGCGGGTCTGCTGGTTCTTGTTGCCGGGCTCGACGGTAGGCAGCTGTGCGCGAACCTGGAAGATACACCCGAAGTAACCTGCGTTCCACAGAACGTGGCGCCACATGGTCGACTCAAGGCCGTTGTACATTGCCAGCGGGCCTTCTGCGGCCACGATCTTCTTCACAACGTCGAACATGCCGTTGTACTTGTGGGCCTGGGCCTTATCCTGCAGACGGATCTTCACCAGCTCGAAAGGAACCACCACGAAGGCTTCAGTCGCTCCGGCTGTGGCTCCGGTCAAAGTGGCCAGGCCTTGGGTCTGCTTATCGACACCGAACAGGTTGCGGTAGAAAGCGCCCCAGCTGTCGTTGGCGGCGAACTTGGTCGCACGCTTAGGTGCCTCCATCAGGATGGGCGCGGAGATACCACGGTATAGACGGGAAGCACTAATTACGATGTCACATGTTAGAGAGAGAGAGCCGTGGCTGCTTCGCTGGGGTGATGGCATACCCCTCGTTCTTAACAATCTTGCGGAAGCAGTCGAACATGCCACTGTAGTGATCGACACCAGGAACAGGGGGTCCGGTCTGGAGCTGACTGCAAGAGGATATCGTTAGCTCAGGTCATATGAGGTCGGTGTTTATTGCGACCGGCGGCTTGCTTACATTCGAGTCTTAAGCACATCCAGAGGGTACCTGCGAGTCACACATCGTCAATTGGGTCCAATTTCCATACTGTACCAAGCATGTCTCCAATAAAGGTAGTCATGCGACCAAGGAAGGGGAATGGAGAGCCGTACATGATCAGGATCTGTTCGTGCGGGGAGAGACGCGTTAGCCAACATAGCACCTCCTGGGGGGTTCCGACACAACGAATCAAGTCGGAATCACTTTCCAAAGCAAAGGCAAGAGAGAGAGAGAGACATACCTCTGAGACACCAGCCACCGCACCGGCGGCGAACTGGTAGACGAAGGGGAGGGGTGCCTGGGGAGTTTCGGACATGATGGCGGCTTGAGGTGTGGGATGTCAGTATGGGGCCACAAATGGGTAATAGTGGGATCGCAAAGTGATTAAAAGGCACACTTTTGCGATGAAATCACATATTAACTCACAATATTTGAAAAGAACGAGGGTTGGAGAAAGAAGAAGTGAGAAAAGCGGAGGTTTCCGGTGTCGGCGAGATTCGGTGATCAGGTCCGAGTGCAGCAGCCGGTAAGACTCCGCCTGTACGTTTAGCCCGATTACTAAACCCCCGTGGGGAGAGCTTCCATAAAATTCACATTCAAAGCTATTTGCAGATTTGTTGTCATCAATTCATATTCATGTGTATCGTATCTTCTTGTTTTTGTTTTTCATAATATCCAAACTCCCACACTCATTCCCAGCATCATCCCCAACATCATTTTACTGACTCGGCACATCACACCATCACTGCTAGTCGCAGTCGCTTGTTCCTTAGCGAGAGTCGTCCCAAACGTAATGTCCCTTGCAGTACAGCTAGCACCACAGGCGAATCCCGTGGGACAGCATCCTCCGCCCACGGTGTCAGCACAATGAAACCAGCCTTGAGCACACCGGTTTCCACCAGAGTGTTGCGTTGTTGTCGCGACGGGCGCTTCAATTGTCACACCATCTGATATTATGGTCGTCGAAGATGTGGTCGGGCACGAGGTTGTATCACAGACTCTTCCGGTGCGGCAGCAGCCACCTTGGTAGACGGCCGAGCAGGCGTAGAAGCCAGTTGGGCAGACATCGCTGCCGCGGGTAGCACTGGTTACTGTTGAGAGGTTCGTAGGCCGTGCTGGCGGTGCCAAGCCATCGTTTGTTGTGGACATGCTACTATGGGGAGAAGTCGTCGAAGAAGAGCGGGAAGTGGAAGTGGAAGAAGTATCCTGTGGTTTGGTCGAGTAGGTCACAGTAGATAACACCACGGTTGAGTGAACAGACACCGTAATAATAGTGATGTATGCACCTAGTCGAACAATTAGTAAAAGCGCCCATACTCCCAATTTCCGATGACAATATGGGGAAGAGGAAATTAAACGGGAAATCCACCTACATCCCCCTTCAACACAATCATATCCCGGAATACAGCATCCACCCCCCAAAGCCTGCGAGCAAGCCGTATACCCACTATGGCACGACCCAATCATCCCAGAGCAACTTTTCCAGCTAGGACAACAGCCCACATTGCCATGCCCCGTATCAGCAACGATCTCGCACGTCTCCCCGGACCCACAACAGCGATCGGATCGACCGATGGATACGCACGCCGTTGTCCCAGTCGGGCACTTGAAGTCTCGTTTCTTGAACAGATTATTTGCGCTGCCATTGTTTTCCCAGGGAAGGAACTGACTTTCTCCATCTATGTCCAAGGAATAAGATGGCCCGAATGGGTATGATTGGGCCACAAAGCGTGCTGGGGAAAGTCCATCTTCATCGGAGAGGTGTCGCTCAGATATGTTACGAGACGAAAAGGCATCCCCAAAACTCCAGTAGTCGAGGAAGAATTTCTCGCCTTCGTCTTCGCTCATTTTCTTCACGCCGAGGGCTGGTCCTGCTGCGAGCTGGGATTTTATAGCGGCATTGCGCTGGAGGATGAGGTTTGCTGGCAAAGACGGAGAAGTCCCAGCCTCTTTGGATTCTAAATTCACCGAGCTATTTGTATTTTCTGCTGAGATCAGTGCTGGAAACTGGCATAGTGAGCAAAGTATGGTGAGGGCGTGGAGGGGCTGCATGCTGCCGCTGAGCGTGGCGACCAGAATAGATCTCGAGTTTGTTTAGGTTGAGACTAGTGGAAATAGTCGGGTTGGAGGCACTCTTGTAGTTGGGTAGCTGTTTCAGATGCTTGTTTCACTAACAAGGGCTGTGAATGAGTTGGTTGGGAATCAAATTTCGAGTTGGGTTGGGATGGGTGCATTGGTGCAAATGTATATTGTCCCTTAAACATCCAATCCAAGTCGAATTTGACGAATTTCAGGGGAAAGATCCTTGTCAATCTAGGAATAAATTAAGGGCGCATTGGGCTTTCTATAAAGCTCTAAAGCTGCAAAGCTGCATGGGGTGGCTGGGAGTGCAGGATGCAGGCGCACACCGCTACGCATTAGCTTGCAGGACGGACAGGTCAAGTTACACATAGTTAGAATATACATGAGTATTTGGGATTATTCTCGCTCCATATTAGTCTACCTAGTACGGTATCAAGAGACTACTTCTAACTAGTGCTACTCCAAAGCAAACAAGCAACACCCCAACGCTAACTTCAAATGTGTTCATATCATTCGCAAAATCAAAGACCAAATGCTAGTGGCAAACCACAGAGTATGGCAGGGTATCGTCAGTAAATGACATAAGGGGCTCTCGCACAGAAAACACGCCAAAAGGTATCAACGGAAATGACATGAACAAAACCAAAGCCCCAATGCGATGTCAAATGCAATAAAACAAAATAAATAAACGTATGCATCCAATTTCACTTGCCCTTGGCTATGAGAGGTTCGGGATGAGACTTCGTAAGGTCGGAGATGATCAGATCGAGGATAGAATGGAGGATGGATGAACATCCTTGTATCAATAGAGGATCAAGCAGAGGGCTGTTCGGAGGTGGTGTTGTCTTCCTCCTCCGGCGCCTTGGACAGTGACTTTCCCGTGTCGGAAGATGGTGACTTGGGCTCTTCCACCTTCTCTACCTCGTCTGCACCCTCCGGTGTCGCCTCCTTTTCACCTTCTTGCCGGTCATCATCACCTCCACCCTCGTTGTTTTGCTCCGCTGCCTGCGCAGCAGCGGCTTCTGCCTCCGCCTTCTCCATCTCGGCATTGCGGGCCTGCTGTCTATCCCAAACTTCCTTGCGGATGCGCTCGTCCTTCGCAGTACGGAGGCGCTCAGTCTCCTCGAAACCACCGCTCTTCTTCAACCTGCCTTCGTCGACAAATGCGCCCAGTTCCTTCTGGAAAAGACCGATTCGCCGAGTCTCAAGCTCCTTCTTCCGTGCTTTCTCGGCTCGCTCAATGGCCTCGAGTCGACTTTCGTGGTTAGGTTGCAAAGCTCGGACTTCACCCAGGACACCGTCCTTGGCTTTCATGGGATCAATAGTTGGGTCGATTCCAAGAGTCCTGGATGGGGCTCGGACAGCGGTGCCACCGGTTGTATTTGTTAAAACCTGCTCCTTCGTAGCTTGCTCCACCAGGGCGAAGGTTTGAGTTGCCTTCTCGAGATCGTCTTGCAAGTCGGCAGCGAGGTCTTCCTGCATGGTAAGCTGGTCTCGTTCTTCGCAAACCAACTGTAGCTCCTTCTCCCAGATCTTGGTCCAGATGGGCTTCTCGCGACCCAGGAAGTCCTGCATTTTCTTAATTTCTTTCATGACCATGCTAATATCGCGGCTGACTCCCTCCAGTTGTCTTGGGAGAGGACGAACACCGCGGGTCACGACATCCTTCCGAAGGTCCTCAACCAAATCTTGGAGATCATCGACGCGAGCGACCAGTCTCTCCGATTCGCCTGCAAGTTCCTTCTTTCCAGTATTGACGCGAGCACGGCCTGCATCGCCTTCATAAGAGGGGGTGGCAACGTCGTCGGCAGCGGTCTTCACCTTGCTTGCTTTAGCACGGACTGCGCTCATAGAACCAGTGATATCGGCAGTAAAGTTGGAGTAGGTCTGACGCAGGACAGCCAAGTCACGACGCAAGCTCTGAAGCTCGGCAATTTGAGATCCACTGCCGGCAATCGATGCCTTGGAATTCCCTCCAACTGCAGCCGGACCAGATGTGGCTGGAGGAGCAGCAGCCAAGCGAGCGATTTCTTTGGCAGCTTCAAGCTGGCGATCCGAAACCCGTTGGATGATATTTCCTTGGCCAGTAAGTGTTTCTTTGACGCCTTCGACCAGGAGGCGCACACTCCCAAGGCTGTCATCGAAATGTTTCTTGACCTCATCGAGGTTGTCAACGTTAAGCACCAACACAGACCGATCTTTGACGTCGGCAAGGTCTTCTAGTTCATGTCGGATTCCTGAGATTGGGTCTTGGATATAAATTTCTGGCAAATCAACGCCATTGTCGTGGGTATTCCACGCAAACTTTTCAATGAAAGCAAGCTGTAGGCGCCCAATGGTGAGCTCCGCAATACCATCCGGGAGCACGTACTTTTTAATTTTGCTTTTATATTGCAGGAACAACGTCAGCTCTTTACCCGGTGATGGTTGCTCAGTAGCAAATTGAATAGCTGATAGAGGTGTTGCGATCTCGGTGGACGGTCCAAAGGAGCCTGCCTTCGGGGTTTCGGGTGCTGGTTTTGCGGGCTCAAAAGCGTCCTCAAGTGTTGGCTTCTCTTGGGGTTGTGGAATGATCGGGGGAGGAACGATCGCAGATTCCACGGTATCGTCTTTCTCTTTATGAACATCCGCTTCTGGGGGCACCTCGGATGGTACGGTATCGATCCCTTGTGGCTCTAATGGAGGCGCAGTAGATGGAGGAGTGCGTTCTTCTTCCACAACATCCGGAATATTTGCGGATGGGGGAGCTTGCGCACCCTTAGCGGCTTCCTGTAAGCGATTGTTGGATCGTTGTCTTGTATGAGTAAATGAGCCGCGCAGACGGACTGCATTCAAGGATTCGCGGACATCACGACCGCGATTGGGGATGGGAGAGTTCTGGGTAGGGAGGACAGGGACGCCGTTGGTAGATGTGCCCAGATGTTTCTGAATTTGATAAGCAGAGAATCGACGCGAGGCACGTCGCTCAAGCTCTCCACTTCTTTGCAAAGCCCCCAATGCGTCATCCTCCTTTGGCGGAGGCGGAGGCGGAGGCGCGCTGAACCCGGCGGGTGTAATATATGTTGAAGGCGCTGTGGTATTGGATGTGTTGGCTCGAGGGGTTGTGTCATTATCGAAGGGGGTAGGTTGAGACAGCATTTGTTGGGCCTCCCGTCGCGATAGTTCTCTTTCGGCGTGGTTTGCCATGCGCGGTTCGGTTATTGAAGGTGCCGAGGAGGTTCGAGCAATGGCCGGCTGATCCTCCAGCGATCCACCGCTGCCATATCGTCGATTCGATCTTCTCGGGGACTGGGATGTCGACGGCATGGTGGATGCTGCAGCATCATCATACAGCTGACCAATTGCCTGCCCGTTAGCTATGCTTCCCGCACTGGCTTGCCGTCCTGGTGCGGGCCGGCCATCTTCGCGCTGGTGCCGGGACCTTAAGCGAGCTTGCTTCTTCTTCAGCCCTTTTAACAAGTTGATGATTATATCTCGAATTCGGGGGAGGTATCTATCGAGGCTTTGGGAAGATGCGTCTTGACTAAGAGTGTCCTCAAGTATGGTGCGGAGCAGGTCTGGTACGGGACCGAGGTCTGAGGTGTCGACTCCGATGGCACTGAAGGCTCGACAAGCCAAGTTAAATTCATAGCCCAATCGAACATACACATCCGACACGTCATTCTCCGATGCTTGCTTCCGAGACCATTGGGTTAGGGTTTCGAGGAGTTGTTTTGTCGCAACCAAAAGGTGCGTGACGCTCTTTTCGATTTGGGATATTTGTTTATCGGGCTGTGCGGTGGGGGAAAACACCGGTTCATTAGCCATCGGAATGTAGGCGATTGACAGGCAGTCAGAGACTTACGTGATTCTTGCTGGACTGGGATCGAGACGAGGCGGAGGAACTGCGGCCGGACTGCTGGGAAGCCATGGATGTGTCGGCACTGCCAGACCCCGAGGGTCGTTCGGGGGATGTCTGGTGTTCCAGATGTTCAGGGTAGGGGAACTGTGTTCTTGAAGTGCCTGGGGACTGCATAAGTACGATAGGTCAGATGACCGAGGTAGTGAGAACGGAAAGTGAGAAATAGGGCAGAAGCGAGCGAGTGTGCCAAGCATGTGTGAAGATGATGCCCAGCCTCCTGTCAACTTGGCGCCTTACCACGCCCGAACCGATGATCGGCAACAATTTATCCCCCCAATACCATAAATACCATACGATACTGTATAGCCCTGTAATGATGTACAAGGGACCGGGGCAACGCGTTACTCGAGAGTTCAGGCCGCAGTAGTTGGTACATATATACGCATGTATGTACTTTGTGAATTGATCATTGACAATTGACCTCCAATTTGATGCCATATGATCACATGCTTATATTATCTGTCCTTTCAACATCATAATACATACAACATAACAACATACAACATACAACATACAATAGAACATAAAAAGGACAAATGGGCTCATCCCTCACCGCATCCACTGATAAGTACCCGATTGATAAGGTCCTTGCCTTTGTCCCTTTCAACTGTTCCACTTCAGCTCCACTCCAGCTCTATTTATACTTGTCTTGTAGGATGGGTTTAAGTTATTTCGGTTACTATTGTATTTTTGCACTACTTACTCAGATCTTTCGTATAGAATTCATTACTCTCTTCCCCATAGGAGGAAGAATATCAGGCCCACCAAGTACAGAACGAACAACCCTGCTAGCCCAAAATACGGCAGCCCAACCAACGTAACGCCTAACTCCATTCCTGTCTAGAACAACCATGGAAGGAGACTTCAGCAATGGCATTGAAGAGCCAATAAAATGCAGGGATTGAGATACATATCATGTAAAGTTATTAGGCCCTATTAAATCCGGACAATATTGCTTGGAGTTAGAGCCTCATTTTGATATAGCCAATGTTTCAGGTACGCAGAGTGGCAGGATTAAAGCTAGGTTAGAGCTGGTGTAGTCTGGTGCCCACGGCGATGATGATGCCAT